AACAAATAATCATACAGGGGCAAGAAACTGAAAGAACAAAAACAATGAATACTACAACTTCTAGTTTTTAAAGTTGACTTAGAATGAATCAAACTCGCTTTGTTTCTGGCACATCACCGAATTCTAACTCGGCAAGCAAGACACATACAACTGTCAACTCCCACAAGAATCGCAGCAGTTGAAGAGCTGGGGTTTGCTCTTACTACAGTAAGTTTTTCCAGTCAGCTACGTATTTTAAAGCGACAATTTTATAATTTTAAAAATGGAAACAGGTAGAAAGCATGTGGCATTTCACCACACACCACTTCTAGTAGCTTGCACTACTAAATAAAACCCCATTGTTTCCAGAACTCTTACTGAAAGTCAGTCATCTCATACCCAAACTCTGATCATGTACACGGTAATGTAATGTGGGGAGAGGGGAGAAGGGTCCTCCTCTCAATGGTTTCATTTCAGAAGGCCAGAGGACTTCAGTCACAGCGGCACAAATACACCGATAGCCAGTATTTCATAGTGAACATACCAGGGTTTACTCTGAGTATCGCTACGCAGTAGCTACAGGAGTAATTGCATGTTTTTCTTGTGTAAGTCTATGACAAAGTTAATCTAAAGGGAACATTAGATAAATGCTCTAACCCACTTCAGAGATGTCTTCATTTCTTACTCTGGCAAGACAGAAATTCACTGCAAAATACAGCTGGGTGAATTTAACACAGAAGGCATATTGATTCACTGTACTGAGCTTTAAAAAAAAATAACTTAAAACTATGAAGGTAGGGATCACTGTTATATAATTTTTAACTAAAATCTTCCATATAGAGTCTTAAAAAAAAAAAAAATCAGTGTGATTGCCAGAAAAATAAGTACATCCAATTCACAGGAAGCAGTTCTTGCTTAACACTCCTCAAAGATTAGCTCTTGTTTCTAAACTGAAGGCATCTCCTACCTGCTGCCGTGCCATGACTGCATCCAAACGTACGCACAGCTCCCTCCAACACGACCAAACAGATTACTCAGTGGTCAGCCGATGCAGCATACTTTTGTTTCAGCAAATAGTTATAGCATTGCACAGTGACTGGTTGGTCACTAGGATGAGATCATTCCCAACAGCAAACTTTATCAAAAAGCTTTTTGTTGCATGCTGTTGTACTTCAGAAAGTTAGCTTCATCTTATGATTAATTAGTAAAGAAGATATTTCACAGAAAAGTTTTATATTATTCAGAAAGTATTCAGTAGCTTCTCCTCCTTTTTTTTTTTGCCTACATTCCTACCTCTTTAGATTTAGAATGCTTTTAAGACATTTTTAAATTTTTTAGCCAAATTATTAGAATCATAAGGGGATGACATCTGACAAGGACCAGAGGGGTTTCGTAGGGCTTTTTGTTTGTTTTTTTTCCTTGGTGTTTGAAAGAAGAAATACTTTTAGACTCTAGAACATCACTTCAATTATGCTTTGCATTTATTCCAAAAGCAACGAGAAAATATTCTCAACTGTCCCTACCTGGCCTCAGGCTGAAGAAAAAGAAGAATATGCCAGTATGGAAGGAGGAGGTTGCTACTTTTCAAGGCACCCTTGCTAGTACTTTTTTTTTTTCCCCTCTTTCTTCCTCAATAAAATCCAAATACTGTTCTTGGGGTCCTGAAGTTCAGCTCAGAGGAGTTGAGACACCTACTTTCAAGATATCAGTTCAACAAAGATTACACAGCCTGCTGTGGTGCCCGATAGGCTCTAGACAGCCAAGTCCTCCATACAAAACTTCATTCAGCGTTTGAAGTTCTGATGTTGTACCTGTCTGAGAGCACCAGCAATTGGTTAAGCCCAATATCCAGTGTATTCTAGATGCATAAGTTCGGCATCCTCACATAGGCCTCCAAAGGAACCAATCCCACACATACACTCAAGCATATGAAACATGCACGAACAGCAGCAAGCTGAAAGAATACCAAAGCATCTACAGTGTCCCCATTTTAAGTGAAGCGGGCTCCACACCTTGGGAGCTGGAGACCCCCGTTCTATTTCCTCCTTGGCCTGAAAGCGTTCAAACCCCTCTACCCCACTTCTGGAAAGTGCGTTACAAACCAACCATTTGCCACAGGCACTTCATGCACAGGGGGTCAGCCTTTACATGTAAGGCAAGCCCCAATGCACAAGTTACAAAGCCTGAAAGACCAGCAAGACTGTCTGTCTATCCCCCTCCCAACCAAGCATTCTAGGTTTTGACTTCTGTTTCAAGAACTGTTTCTGCGTTTCATTCTGCGTATCTTGCTGGATAAAAACAGAAATATCCTACGGCTATAAGCCAGAACCCATGGCTCCTGACACCTGAGCACCCTATTCGCTCCACTGCAACTGAGCATGCCATTTTTTGAACCTTCTTCCAGATCTTCCCCATTATTTTATTCCAGTCACGCAATAATTCTCATCTCAGCCATAAGAAGCAAAAGAAAACTGGATGCAGAACTAAGATTTACCATTGTATAGCACACAACTGAAACAAATCAAAATGCAGTGGCATTTAGTAATGGCTAGATCATAGAAATTAAGAACAAAGACAAAAACTAGAAGTCATGTAGTATTTAGGAATCAAATGAAAACTTTATGTTCTATGAAATGATCAATTCTGCAGATCTGTAGCGAGGCACAGGATGTCTATTCTCAACTCACTTTTCAGAAAGAAACACAGATGCTTCAGAAAGTTTCACCCTGTGGTTGGTTTGTTTCTTCTTTCACCCAAGCATCTGCTGCCTGCAATTCATTTGCCTCTGCAGCCTTTCAGCTTTAGATAGACAGAATGAATGAGGCAACCTAGAGTTTACACAAAAGAAACGTGAAAGCAAGAGACTGCCTTTAATCAGACCAATCCGGTGAGCATCTTGAACACACTAAACTTTTTTTTTAAATATATATTAAAAAAAAAAATCAGTAGACTAACAGAAGCAATTTAGTAAAAACTAGCTAAGAGAGAACAATTCACAGGCAATCTCCAGACTAAAAACATAAGATTTGAGTCGATTCCATAAAATACAGTCTATGTCCCTGTTTAGTATATGAAAATGGTCCCCTCTGTATACACCCCCCCCTTTTTCAGTGTTACGCTTCTGAAAAGTATAATACAAAGCATTTCATCTAGAACTTCTGGCTCCTGTACTTTGAAAGATTAAAAGAAAAACTCTCAGAAGAGACAAGCAGGGACATAAGAGCGATTAGTGTGACCTGCAAGCTGCAAGTGTGATAAATAGTGCTGAGAGGACAAAGGTAACAGTGGTAACCAACGATAATCTTTTTTATTTGGAGATACAGAGACTTTTGAGCTGGGTTATTTCCTCAACATCAGCACTTGCCTGTTTACAGATTATTTGCCTCCTGTGAGCAAAAGGCATTTTTTGTTGCAGTAGGTCAGCACTGGTAGTGTAGACGAAGAGACTCTGAAGAAGCTGTATCATGCATCTGAACACTACACAGAATCACACACGATTCACACGCACACGGCTGCAGTACAGAAGCTGCTGATAAACACCTAAGGCTCCAGTACAAATAGCTAAGAGGAGACAGCCCACACTTAACCCTCACCTGAAAACAAGATGATGAATAAAGGACAAAACAGAAAACATGCTACTGCACAAATCCACGTAGATTAATTTTTTGCCTGACCTGCTGTAGTAGTTCTTACATTTTGATTTTTTTCATATGCTGTGAAAGTGGAGAGAGTAATACTGTCTTGCTGACTAACAAAAGATATCAAAATAACTAATAGTGACTTATTTCACCCTACTCCTCTGCTGTTCATGCTGAATTACTTGCTTTTATTTCCCCTCAATACATTCCATTTATTCCTCTGATCTAGCTTTTTTTTTCCCCTACCCCCAATTCCACAAAAAAGTTTAGGCTTGAATCTAAAGCATTAACAGGAGTGTTGAAAGAAAACTACTTTGAAAGAGTCCAGTATCAGTAAATGAGAAGTGTAGCTGGTGGATATACAGCTTCCCTCTGTAGTCTGACTTCCTTTTATAACACAGTAACATCTTTCAGCTGAATCCAAAGCTTGTGGTTGTGTAACTAATTAGATCCAACCATCTTTAATTTGAAACTTAAAATAATTTAAGGACAAAACATTGCAGGTCCTCCAAGTCACTTACAAAGTTACCTTTCTTTAAAGGTATGCGTTAAAAATTCAGTATGGAGAACAATACTACTCAAGGTTATCTGTATGTGCTAAATAAGTTAAAGATAGAGACTACCTCTATTTTATTTCTCTTTGGGGGGATTGTTTATATTTTATTCCTCAATTTATAAATTGTGATGTTTCTTTTAAGTAATACTGCAATTGTTGAGAAAAATACATGGTTTTACAGTTCTACAACCAGGACGCTCTAATGCATTTCAACTTTGAGTACATGAAAATAGGTAATCTTTGTGTTACCACCCCCTTCACATTTGCAAAATTAGTTCAGCACAATGTTTAATTATTAGAATAGAGTTGCAAAAATAAATCCCACTGAAATTTGATGATATGGTAAGGATATGTAACACATCAGTCTTGATTCCTCCCACTCCCCTTAGACATTCAATAAATCGACATCTCTTCAATTAAAAAAATTACCAAAAGTTAAATTACTGAATACCACAAACATTTACTGTAAAAATACATAAAAAGAACACGTGCATTTTAATTCCATACAGATTTTAAGAGCAAGTTTTGCACTATGTAATTTCCTGTTCAGTTCACGTTCAACCATTTGATTACATCAGCACCTCAAAATGATATTAGAAGATGTGAAGCTCGCCAGAGAATTTCATTTGGGAAATGTAACACGCACAGTCAGCATATTTGGCTGCTGAAAAATAAGGCTACAGATAAATTACATACTAGAGAAAATAAACATACCCCAGACTTGAAGGAACAAAAACAGTTTAATTTTGATCCATCTTGGGCATTTTCAAGGTTTCTACAGGCATATCACAGATGAAAAGCAGTTGAGGGTCCTTTCAGAAACAAACCTGCATAAAGGTAGTCGTTACTACATTTTGCTTTGTTCCACGGGAGAGCACCTTGTCTGTGGGATCCAGGGTAAACACGAGGAATCTGGTCTTGGTAAACTACGCCATCTGAAGTGGAGTTCTGGGATGATCAATGGGCATTTAGGACCTATTAGCACATGACGGAGAGCATTGCTTTCGTTAAGATAGCTGATCAACTATGCCAAGAACATTTCTCAGACAATCTGTGTTCCTCCCACTCCCCAAATGCAATTTCTTTAACAGAAAGCTGACAAAGAAAAGGATTTTAGAAGACAGAGGGATGGTTTCAGCTAATGATTTCAGAATGGCTGGCCAACACCTACAAGTTCAGGCTTTAAAAACTGTAATCCTCAAACTGGATTCTACACATGGACTTATTACACCTATAGAAATAAGTATCTCCCTTTTCACTTCTATACAGGACAAAAAATTAAATGGTGCCAAAATTATACCGCTATTCAAGAGTACCCTATGTCCCAGAGCTTACCAGCATACTTGAGCTCTGCCAAAAATCTAGATATGTTGACCTCAGAACTCACCCCCAAAGAGCTATTAATGTGTTATCTACAATACAACATCGCTTTTTCATGTATACAATCAGACCGAAGTTGTGGCCCAAGAGAAGTAGATTCCCCCATTTATTTTACTGAAGAAGATACTTCGAAGTGTCAGCACTATTTCAAAGCTCAACGCTTTAGCACAGGTTACTGAGGAAGCAGGAGAGAAACAAACAGAACTGGGAGCTAAATTAATAGCAGTCTCATTCCCTCCCCCTCCACCCATGTTCCTTCTTTGAGGCAAGGACAGACAAACTGGTACAAAACATGAGAATAGCCTAAGAGAAAACAAATCGAACACACAATGAGCAAGAAGATAGAAAATTATCTCATTACACAACAAAATGTGAATATCTGGAGTTAATAAATCTTAGATTTCTTTAAGAGAGCCTTATACAAAACCTACAACCAATATTCCAGTTTAAATCCATACAAACATCAGACTTGCAAGAATGGCTGGTCACAGTATGGAGTGTAGCGTGTATGCAGCACTGAATTTGAACTCCTCCGTCTAAGAGCAGACTACGAAGGCTCAGGAAGGTTAGTGACCCCCTGCCAGAATCCAGTTGGTTTCCCTGTGAGTCTGTATCACCGCCTCTTAACAATCCCTGTTGAGTAAAGGTGATCCGATTTAGGAATTTCAGTACTGCCCTACCAATAGCATAAAAAGCCAGTTTTGACTACTGACTACTGCGTAGTTCTTTGCAAGATTGCCATACTGGTAAGGGGGAACAGAAAATGCAAGTGGAAGAAAGAAATTCCCTGGTCTGGCATTATTGGGGTGGGGAATGAACACAAAACCACACACACAAATTAAAAAAATAACCTACATTCACGTCTTCAAATCAAAAAAGCAAAAGCCAGCATGGCTCTTAGAGGTTCAAACTTAAAGACACATTATGCTTAAGAACAACACAGTAGCTTATTGAGGAGATTAAACGCAGTTTGGAAAGAGTTAAATCTTTTAACAGGAATCCTAGACATGCACTGTACAACTTTGTCCTTAACGTAACCTCCCTTCCGCTGCTCTGACCTGGTCACTCCCTTACATGTATTCCTCTCACTTTCCAAAGGGAATTCAAGTTAGTGATACAGTCCTGAGCGTATTTTCTATTCTCCTGTCTAACAGTCAGTTACCAAAATAACTCTTCTATTCTCCCAGTGTCACTTTTGGACCATTTCCGACTCTCATTATATAACCATGGACCTCTACTTTAAAAGGGAATCTCATTTTATCACAGGAAGTCAATCCCCCAGGGGAAAAAAAAAAACCAAAAAACACAAACACAAAACATTAAGAAGTCTGCAGTATGTTTAAATAAGACACAGCATCAGCTGATGGCAGCCAGAGTTAGGATTTTTAGGAGCACTGTATTAAATTATGTGCTCCAATCAACCCTCAAACAGCCTTTTTAAAAGGTCTTTGAAGCAAAAAGGAAAACCACCCTACATTCAATACATTCAGAGGGGCTATAAACCGGATTTGGTAGGCAAGGAACACAGATAGGGGAGGAAAACAGCAGCATAGGTCAGATGCGAGTTTAGCTGATACAGATTCAAAGAATAGAGAAGTGGACAGAGGAGTGCAGCAGTAGTAGGGTAGCAGAGTAGAACCTGTAGCACAAACACAGCTCATAGTCATTAAGAAAAAAAATAAATGCTTTAGAACTAAAGGCCTTTGTCAAACGCATAAGGAGATTTAATGTACAACGTGCCTATCTGCTGTGAGTTGACAAATTCAGCTTTTCTTGTTTAGTGCATCACAATCATTTACTAATCCATCATTACCTGAACGTAATTCTAGGAGATTCTGCCAGCAGAGAGGAACGTGCATTAACTGCAGACTAGAATAAAACGGAAAAATCCTAGTGAAGTTACTATCTCCAGCAATAACCAGTACTGGATGCAGAGGAGCCTGCAAGAGTTATGTTTAGAGACACGTACAGAAGGATGTGCCCACAGGGTAAGTCTTTTAGCAATACCAGCCATTAGAGGTAATTTGGCAAGTTAAAAAAAATCTTAGCTGGAGAAAACGAAGCTTGGAATTGCAAGGAGTTTCTTTATGTTCCCCAACTCTTTCAAATTCATATTTATTCATTATAGGAGAGAGAAATCTCATAGAAGCTGCCAGCAAAGGAACACAACACACCAAAATAATATAGAATACCATGAGTTAGAGAGTTGTTACAGTTTTAAGAACAAGACAACAACTACTGATGCAACAAAGGAACAGTTGATGGGGTTTTTTGTTTTGTTTTTTTTAAACACCATTGACATCCACAGGTGTTTTGTTTTTTTAAACACCATTGACATCCACAGGTCTCAAATAAATATAGAGCTTATTGGACAAATTTGGTTTTCAGCAACCAGACAATGCCATGCAATACTCTTCTACATTCAGATGTAGAACTATTATTCCTAGTAAAACCACCATTATTTTAAAGGGGAAGTATAAGCCTGAAAATGCTACTTTAAGGCAAATTATAGGAGAGACCCTTAAAAGTGAATTCCCAAGCTGAAAATAGGTTGGACTAAAAGCAAATACGCTAGAGTCACATCAAACCAGTGCCAATGCAGATAGACATCCCTATATATCCAGTCAGTCATTCACCAATTACACCAATGCAACCTACTAAGAGGGTCACTCCGGGACAAATATGTAATCCCCAATGTGACACTTGATCCTATTGCCCTACATGCTCTGTCCAAATCCCAATGCAAAAAAAGTAAATTTTACCTAAAAGACCAGTTAAAAAAAAATCCAGTCCTCAGAACACAAGATGGATATATCTTTGAATTCTCATGTTGTAAATGCTTAAATAGGTTAAAATACAGTCTAAAAAATATAATATATGTTTTAAGCATAAAGATATCCTGAAAAAAGTAACACTGCAGATTACGTACGTTGTAGCTTCATATGTAAATGCAAATTTGTTACATAAAACATAGCTTGAGCCACCCACAGCATCCTACAGAGTTCCCATCATCATGGTGTCACAGTAGTACCACTTGATGCATATATTGGGTGACAAGCGTTATGGCATGTCATCCCAAAAGCATTTAATGCGAGATTTAAACCTCGACAGTGATCACCAGTTTTACAGACATCCTGGTGACGATGGCCCATCATTTTGTCCGACTGTGTTGGTGTAGGTGGAACCAACTTACACTCAGGAGCTGCACTCTGCAAGCCTCAGCAGGAGTGCAGACTCTCAAATCACAAGTACCAATTGCTGTCCCACATTTCCTCCCAAATCTCAAGATCATTTTAGAGGTTTCCTTTTACATCTCACCTTTCTTTCCAGAGGTTTCTCTCTGCCTTTTCAGGGATAAAAGAAAACATTAGCATACATGAAGTTGTAATCAAAGTAATAAATTATTGATGCACAGCCTCAGAAGTATGTTATGACCTGTTATTGGATTCCTAACATAAATATATTTAAGTTACTACTGCATATCTAGATCACTTTAAAATCCACAGCTCCTGCTAAGTAAGAAGTCCAAATCATCTAGCTCTTAACATCTAGAACCCTTTTTCTAATTGCTTTGATTCATGACCAAAGAGAAAAGCAATTCACTCTAACCACAAAAGTCAAAAGGAAGGAAGAGCTGGTGACTCAGTTCTTTGTCTCATTCTCTGCCTCTTGTATCTGCAGAGCCTAATTCGAAGCCTCTGCCGGAGCTGGCTTGTGGATTTTTGTCTTTGGTCTTCCACAGTTGTTAAGTTTCCAACTACTTTCACTACTATTAGTTAGGTATCTATGGACAGCAGAAAAACTGTTCTGAGATTCCTTCAGACCAGTGCAGATAAGCATAGGGGCATCTTTAAGAAGAGCACTACACTTAATAAAATTGCAATAGAGAAATAGCCTTTACAGAGTCAGAAGACTGAGACAAGTAGAATACTCAAGGTTTAAAAACAAACAAAAAAAACAAACCCCAAACAAAACAAAAAAAAATACCACCAAAAAACCCCACACACACAAAAACAAGAGGAAGACTGGAAAGGGATGAGAGGAAAAAACCCCAATCAGCAACAATCAAAAGAAAAGTTCCAAACTCAATATTCATGTGTTTCTTGTGAACACCATTTCATCGGAAAGGGAACCTTAGTGTAGGCAGTAATCAGGTTACAGGCAGGAATTAAGCACTTAGAACTGCTATGAGCAGTGCTAACAATTATGCTTAAAAATGCTTCCCATAAGCTGCTGTTTGCAATAGGGTTTTCCTCAATATTTCTAACAGCATTTTGGATCTAGCATCATTAATAATTTCACAGGACTACTCAAGTGTAGATCAAGCCATGCTTACCCACATGGGAACAGCGCACATGAGAACTTCCTAAGCAGACGTCATTAGTCACTGTCAAGAGCACCTACCAGACCAGGTGGACCTTTAGCCCAACCCATGATAAACAGCCTTTCACCAAACAGCAGACCTCTTCCTCTCAACATGCCTGAAACCCAGTCAAATTTAAACTACTAATAGCTAGAAGCTTAGAAAATGGATGGTACTTTCCAGAAGGGATTAAAGGAAAACCGTCACTAAAGCACAACTTTGAGTTC